TTTGAGAGGTTTTTGCTATGGGGCGTGTGCTCTCTCCAGAGAGACAGAGAGATTGAAAGCGAGAAACAGGTGTATAAAATCTTAAATGCAGAGCCCCACACACTTTATTATTATCATTATTGCTGTCAGACTGAATGTTATTAACCTTGACTCCCAAGCCCAGTCCTGCCCCAAGTCCCTCCTCCTCTGGCTCCAATCCCAGCCCCAAGTTAGTCTAGGGCCCCTGGCTTTGTCTGTCCCCAGTCAAAGCTGCTTTCACTGAAGCCACGCCCTCCCAGTGGCTGCTCAGGAGACCCCTGGGGGCTGCAGCCTGGCCTGGCCTTGACCTCACCTGGCAGGTGGCCTACGTGAGCCCAGAAGAGAAGCTGGGGTCGGGGATGATTCATTGTGGGATTCCCAGCCTTTCTTCGCCAGTGCCAGTCACGCAGGCCCGGCCCGGCCCGGCCCAGTGGAGGGGTGTTGTGTGGGCCTGCCTGAATGAGTGTGTGTGTGTGTGTGTGTGTGTGTGTGTGTGTGCACGTGTGTGTCTCAGAGCCCGACTCCAAACTGACTCACTTCCTCTATCGGGCTTTTTGTGCACTTGGTAATCTCTCCCTGCCACACACGTGGTCCCCAGGCTAGGCTGGGCACCCCGAAGAAGACTCAGCCTCCCCCAGTCTGGGGAACAGGGCCTAGACAGAGAAATCCCAGCCCTGCAAGCACAAGTTTGGGCCAAAGGGAGGAACTCAAGGCCAAGGAACTGGGAGAGGAAAAGAAGTAATCAGGAAGGCTTCCTGGAGGAAGGGTCCTGCCCCAGATGATCACAGACCTAGATAGACCCTAAGGGAAATACCAGTCTCCCATGCTCCTGGCTGGCTCTGACCCAAGGTTAAGTTTAAAAAGAAATCAGAGGCCGGCAGGTGGCGCGGTGGTTAAGGGTGCTGGATTCCCACATGGTCGACTATGGTTCGAGTCCCAGACCTGGCGGCTTGCTTTCTCCCTTTCCTTCTCTCGCTCTCTCTCTGTTTCTTTCTGGTCAAATTTAAAATAAATAAAGTTAAATAAAATAATTCTAAAAAAAAAAAATGAAATCAAGGGCCATCTGGCGGCATGGTGGTTAAGCAGCTGGATCAAACCCTGCTGACTATGTGGTTCGCGTTCTAGACCCGGTGGCTTGAGGACCATGCCAGGCACATGTGTATGCATGTCCCAAGTCCTGAGAGGAGAGTGAAAGAGTAGGGACTGTAGCGTGACCATCCCCCATGGAAGGTGCTTTATCTCTCTCTCTCTTTCTCTCTCTCTGGTGAGCACATGCACTCCATAGCAAGTTTTTTGTTTTTATTTGAAGAGAGATTTTTGCCATAGGGTGTGTGTGCTCACTGGAAAGACAGAGAGAGAGACAGAAAGACAGAAAAAGTGAGTCATCACCCCCCAGATGGGGCGGGGGTGGGGGATGGCCACACTGCAAATCCCTTCTCCTGCATTCTCCTCAGGATCCCCGGCATGCACGCACACATGCCCAGTGTAAGTTTAAGCTACCGGGTCTGGGACTCGAACTGGTCAATTACGTGAGAGTCTTGCAACGTAACCATTATGCCATCTGCTGGTCCCTCCCTAGCAATTTTTTTTTTGGGGGGGAGAGGTTTTCGCTATAGGGCGCGTGCGCTTGCCAGACAGACAGAGAGAGACAGAGAGACAGAAAGCGAGAAATCACCCCCCAGGGGGGATGGCCACACCGCAATCCCTTCTCCTCCATTCTCTTCTTGGGATCTTGGGCACACACGCACACGCACCCTGCGTGAGTTTTAAGCCACCGGGTCCGGGATGCGAACCACGGTCAACTACATGGGAGTCCAGCGACATAGCCATTATGCTAACTGCTGGTTCCCCCTCCATAGTAAATTTTAAAAAGAAAGGAGAACAAAGGGGCCAGCCCCATGTGCAGCGATTAAGCCCTGTGTGCAACATGTTAGATCCCACTTGGGTGACTGAAGTCTCGGTCCCGCTCCATCACCTTGAAAAACACACCAGGCAGGGAACCAGCAGTTAGCGTAATGGCTATGTTGCTGGACTCCCACGTAGTCGACTGCGGTTTGCATCCCGGACCCGGTGGCTTAAAACTCACGCCAGGCGCGTGTGCGTGCATGCCCAAGATCCCGAGAGGAGAACGAAGGAGAAGGGATTGCGGTGTGGCCAT